AAGTGTTTAGTTTGTAGGATACATCATCTATTGATAATAGATACATCAAATTAATGAATTTATTATTTTAAGAGTACTAAAATGAAATTAATCAAATAACATGACCAAGATATACATGTTTTTGTTTTTTATTAATAATAATATTAATGAATTTATTATTTCAAAGAATAATAAATGAAATTAATTAAACATAAATACACTCCTTGATTTGCCCTATATTAAGAGATTTGATTAATTTAATTTCCAGAATTAATCGCCCATATATTCTAAAAATCATCAATTACTCCTCTAATTAAGGAAATCAGTTACAATCAATTAATTTAAACAAATAAAATACGTATCTCAATTTTAAAATTCGACAGATACATATATCTCACAGATTCAAACTCATGTATCCTAAGTATGAAATATGGTAGAGGAAGTAATATTTGAAACTATTGGGAATCTTAGTAATTATGACCTAAACTAGTGGGATTTATGTAATTTGCCCTTAAATAAAAGGCTGAAGAAGCTACCAAAAATTTATATAAAAATAAAAATAAAAAATTAAATCAAGTTTTTACAATAACAATATCTAAGGTAATATTTTCAAACATGATTAACATCTCATTAACATAATATGTGTTTTGTGAATTTTAAGATCGTTGTTCTTTTTATAATTTAGAACCCACAAGCCTGAAATCCTGGCTCTGCCTCTGGATGCACCTAACAGAGATAATGTCCCAACGAAAATAGGCGCGCGATGTGATCAAGACCGAGGGTGATCCATTTCAAAGAGAGAAAACCGAAGAGAGGATGATCTTCAGCAAAATTCTGAAAGACAAATTTTGTAACCTCGCCTTGGCAAATGATAGAACTGCTTTGTGAAAAGGGTGACGAAAAAATGTGGTGCGGGTTCATCTCTCTTGATCAGTTCAGGTGAGAGGGAGGATGTAATTCAGCTCGACCTACAGGGAGAGGGAGGGTGATCAAGGGGACCTAGACTTTCGATCTCTTCTCTATGGCGGGAGGTTTCTTTCGTATCAAGAGTGTGTTGGGGAGGAGAGAGAAAGTGAGATATTTATTAAAGAAACGTATCCAAATATAACTCTGATTGTGATTCTAAAAAGTAAATAAAATAAAGGGTAAAATATGAGCCCCATAAAATTAGCCCACTAACCAATAAAATAGGTTATAAATTGTGTAGCTATTTATTTTATAATAAATTGTCATGTTTGTAATTAAAATTTTAATGTTGTAAATAAAAAGACTATAGTAATATTATTTAAATTAAGGTCTTAAATAGTATATTCTTGTAATTTTTCCTTTAACTAGTGACTTTGCATATAAAAAAGTCAGAAAAGTAGATTTTGAATAAAAGTATATATGATGAAAACAATTAAATATTAGGGTCCCTCTCTTAACTCCCAATCTTGTTGATTCAGCCCTGATCAATCTTTATAATTTGTGATTATTTTTTCTAATAAGATATTCCCTTTCACTTCCATAAATCAAAACAAAGACGATGGAAAAAAATGATTATGATTTACCGTGGAGGAAAAAAACTCACACTATAATATACACATGTACATACACACAAACACAGTTATATTTAAATACACAAAAGCACATACTTGTGTTATTTTCTACAATAAATGAAGTACTTCATCATACATTCTCTCCACTTTTTGTTTATTTCTTATGATTAACACCATGTAAAAGAATTATCTTCTTAACTGTTAGACATATTGCCATTAATCCTTACATCATTTAAGTTTATTTTAAAAAAATATTTTCAATTTCAATTCAAAAATTATTTTTTACTCTCTAGTAAAAATAAAAGATATTTTCTCAAAAATCTTTTCCGAAAAATACTTTCTACTCACCAACCAAACATGAAAAACTAAGTTCAAAGTCTACTTGTTTTCCAGGAAAACATTTTCCTTCCTACCAAACACACCAACTATTTATATTAAGTTGTTGTATTTCATTATCTTTTTAACCCAAAATAGTCTTAATAAATTTCACGTCCTAATAACATAAGAGGGAATGAATTTTGTTATGCCTGATTTTTGTCTAAGTGATGAACCGAGTTAATATATATATATATATATTGTCTGATTTATTATTGTCTAAGATTTACAATTATTAGATTTTGCATTATGTCTTGTTATTTCAATCCCAACACATTTATGAAATTTACTCTTTGCATGAGTCATTTTTTAGTTAATTTCCTAAATAGTTATAGTCACTCAAGTTGATGAATTTATCTAATAAAATTATCATACTTTATTTGTAATAAGAAATCATCTAAGTAATTTATTTCTCTGAAAGTCAACAGCTAGGATACACAGATATTTTCTTACGTATATAGCTAAGATAAGCAGACAGTGAGAGATATTCACCAAAAAATATAAAAATGAGTAGAGGGTTTTTAGGAGCACACTTAATTTAAAAACCAATTTATTCTTTTTGACTTAATTCTAATTGGATAAAATGTGATATAAACGTCACACTATTTTAATTTAATTGTTAGTCTTTGTCAAGAAAAAAAACTAGTAATTTGAAATAGATAGTAGATTAAGCTATTTTTTCACTTCAAAATAGATTTGAACCATATTGAAGCATATGAAAATATTTTTGAATTTTTATTTAGTGGTAAATTGAGATCACTAGATAATGAGAATTTGAAGAAAAAAAATGTTGTCTTGTAACCTTGAACTTACTTTAACACATAATAGTTATTTTGATATTAATGGTTTAGATTTATTTTTTGAATTAAAAGTGTTAAGGGAAGTAATACTAATAGAAGATAATGATCTAATAAAAATACTCAATCAAATAAAAAGACTTGATTCTTTTCCAAATACAAATATTGCTTACAATGTTAACGTTCATGTCATCGTTGCCTCAGCCGAAAGATGTTTTTCGAAACTAAAATTGATTAAACTTATTTAAGATCAATAATGTCTCAAGAGATATCGAATGAATTAGCTATATTATCAATTGAAAAGAAATTATTAAAACAAATCGATTATAAAACAGTAAGTAACTAATGACTTTGCATCTAAAAAAGTCAGAAAAATAGATTTTAAATAAAAGTATATATGATGAAAAAAATAAAATATTAGGGTCCCTCTCTTAAATTTCTCTTTAGGCTTCCAATCTTGTTGAGTCAGCCCTGATCAATCTTTATAATTTGTGATTATTTTTTCTAATAAGATTTTCCCTTACACTTCCATAAATCAGACCAAAGACTATGGAAAAAATGATACAGTGGAGGAAATAAACCAACACTAATATACACATGTACATACACACAAACACATATTTATATTTAAAAAATACACAAAAGCACATAATTATGTTATTTTCTACAATAAACAAAGTACTTCATCATACATTCTCTCTTTTTTTTTTTGTTTATTTCTTATGATTAACACCATGTAAAAGAATGATCTTCTTAACAGTTAGACGTAATACCATTAATCTTTACATCATTTGATAATTTGTTCATGGACAAAGCTGCATTAAGAAACTCATCCATTGCTCTAATAGATGACCCTTTGAAATCCTCATCATCTATAATAGCATTACTTATCATTTCTCTAACTTCACAAGCTTTCCTTCTAATTTCATTCCCTTTCTCATTTATCCCCATAACAACCTCAATTTTTTCCAATATATCCTCATGCTTAACTTGAGAATTATTCCCTCTAGCTACCTCAACACAAACACCAACATCTTGTTCCAAGAACTTTGCATT